AAATATAAAATGTACCCTAAAGTAAGAGAAAATATAATCAACATCAGCTCACTCAAACGTCACCACTATCATTGAGTATACATATACAGGGTGATTGATATAAGTGTGCCAGCCGTTTTATTCTAAAACTATAAGATATCAAAAAAAGTTAAACGGTAAGTGCCTTGGATTTTTTATTAAAAAAATTTTAGTCAAGTCAAACAAATTATTTAAGCCGCCATTTTTCCAATATGGCCGCCAACTTTGATTTTTCTTATGGAACACCCTGTATTTTATTATGTATTCTGGTAGAAAAGGTCATTTTAAGACAATTTTATTCTTGTAATTTTTTTCATAAACCTAACCTTTATCGAAACTCTTTTTCATGCAGAAATTTCAAAACTTAAACCATTATTATCTTTGAAACGGTTAGGTTTATGAACAAAATCACAAGTATAAAATCGTCTTAAAATTACATTTTCTACCAGAAAGTTGGCGGCCATATTAGAAAAATGTAGGCTAAAATAATTGTTTCGACTTTACTAAAAATGTTTAAATAAAAATTCCAAGGCACTTACCATTTAACTTTTTTGAAATCTCTTATGGTTTTATAATAAAACGGCTGGCACACTTATATCAATCACCCTGTATACTCAGTGCACTATGAAATATAGGAAACAGGCCACAGTATTACAATAGGACGAGAAGTCTATTTATCACAGTAAACACTCGTACTTACAAATTGATTAGCTTTTTTATACTTAAACAAAGTCAGAATTAACCTAATTTCGAAGGACTAAGTGTATAGGTTTATGTTAGAAAAGATACCGTTTTCGTAAAGGTACCAAATAATCCGCTTAGGGAGTATATCTATTTGAATTTGAGTTTTCGATCTCAGCTTGACGTAAACTAAATGAACCTTGCAACCCGTCTGGGACGGACTCAATATCTCAGTGATTAAATGGCCCAAATAGAAGTTGCGGTAGGGGAATTATAAGGGTCCGGCAGGCCTAGCTTACATCAAGACCCGCTCGGGGACTCGCAAAATGAGAAATGAAGGAGATATATATTATATATATGATGTATATATATATAGGATATATATATATAGGATATATATATATAGGATATATATATATAGGATATATATGAGTGATTCGATTACTCGGTGTCAGTTTAATGTACTCTTTGTCAAGTTTAGAAACTGGTTTTGCTAATTATTTGAAGGAACAAGGAACTGATAAATAGTACTGAAATACATTGATACGTCCTATCGAGTTGCTCACAATTGGGGACCAACCCTAAACTTTTGTTGTAAACCGTTGATATTACTTTAAATTACTTACGAGAATTATCTTTTCACCTTTTTAAGATCTATTAATATTTATCTTAAAAAACATATTCGATCGAACAGTAAGTACAATTCACTAAGCCATTATCGAATAAATTTCTGCAATCGTAGACCATAACTAACTACAATTTTCTCCAAGATAAGATTAGATATAACCAAGGCACATCAGGGTGCGCATGACTGTGTTAAAGCTGTATCAAAATTAATTATTTAAACGTTCTTATTTATACAAATGATGGATATAACATTCAAGAAATTTACAACTCAAAACGGATACCAAATAAAAATGTGTAATAACTCTTTAAAAATATTTACACTTAGGCCTATACATTGGACACAAATCGAAAAGGTCACTGGTAACTCATATGCTATTACATGATTTAATTTAAAGAAAAATGTAGTAAATGTGCGTATGTTTTTGAAGAATTTTCATGTACAAAATAATGACATGTAAATTAAGAATGAATTGTTAAAGTCTGTAATTATATCATCTTTTTCCTAAAGCACTCTACTCTTGATTATATTTGGGTGTCTCTTTTTATATCAAAGGGAAAACATTGGCTTCTGTTTATAATAAGTTTAAATATTAGTAAAATACGAGAAAATAATCAATCTGCATTATACACTTTTAACTAACAGAACCGTATAATCAATCTACATTATACACTTTTAACTAACAGAACCGTATCTTAAAGTCGTTTTTTTGTAATCCATCTGTATGACAAATTTACACGGAAGTATGTTAAACCTATTGTGGAATACCACAGTATGTAAATGTATTTGGTTAAACCGAGTTCGACCAAGGTAAAAACTTCGGGTCGAGAACTTTGCGAGGAAGATTGTGAAACAATTCAATCGGTATATCGGTCAGACCACTAGACCGCGCGCCGGTCTGGAGTGGTGAACCACGCACCCTTATAATTCCATTTGGGTCCAGCTTAAATACTTTATTGCGCTTTTAACTTTCTCCTTAAAGAATTACTGAGGTTTTCGCAAAGTACTGAGTGTTCAACATGATTTATTAATAGAGTGGATTCATATATTTGTAAGTTATGAAAATACTACCAAAGAAATCCAAGAATTGTACATAGCAATGGTTTCGATACCAAAGCGTTGTCATTGCTCATCGCACTTGGCATAGTTTATGTTTTTATTCTGTGCTGACAATCGTCAATTTTATGTACATAAATAACTTTAAAGTTGGTACCACCAGACTAACCAACACCAAGGGAGTATGTTTTATCTATGGTTCCACGTTGGTGCCGAAACCATAGCTGACGTGTACAATTTTTGGATTAAAATAAACAGCAATTAACACACTTTTTAATATTTATCGGTCATCCGAAAGCTATAAAAATATAATATATTTTGATAATATTATAGAAATCTGATCGTAAATTAAACTACTTTTGAGCTTAAGTTTGTAAGAAACAATGATTTAAGGTTATTGATCATCGTCGTTTCGAGGTTATTCATAATGTCGGTAGCTTAATAAATTGTAATTAATTTTAAAGTAATTTACAATTAATTCTAAATAAAGTTAAATTTATTTTTTAACAATTGTTCAACTTAACTAAAAAAATGTCAGTAAATATAGTTAGTTTATTTATCTTGATCTTGATACTATAGTTATAAAGTGGATGTAGGTCAAGGTAGAAGGACTTGTTAAGTCACAAGTACTTGTTTCGAGTCTTGGTCCTTAGTGTCCTACTTTACCTTGCTCTTTCATCCTCAAGACTAACAGCCAATTTTCTGTTTAAAGAGTTTCTTTTTAAAATTGGCTTTACCCTACGATATTGTTTTTCAAATAGTTGAAATGACAATCCCTTTGTACGAGTGTGGTATTTCCAGTTCTCGTTTTATTTAATATGTAGTCTACATATTAGTCGACATGTGTTTATATAAAACCAAATCACGAATATGTAATCTCCTGATTGGCTTAGTACATTTACTCATAATGTCCATATGAACGAGTAAAAATCCATTCTCTCTATGATTATGTCCCCAGGAAAAGCTTTCTGTTAAATTTTTTATATAGTCCGTGAACGCGATAACTTGCGTAATTTTTGTCCGAGTTTGATGAAATTTGGTTTAAAGGTGTAAGACGGGATAAACTTGAATGAGTTCGCGAACCAGCGTGATTGGACCATGGGAACGGGGTTTTACGGGGGATTTTATGGGGTAAAAATTAAGGTTTCTAATTTTTGACCCTCAAAACACAAAAGTTCCCAATTTTTCTCTAAACATTTTTAAAGAGCTTAAAATAACAAGTATTTTAGTATACCAAAGTGTTTTATATTCTTATTGATTCAAGAACTGAAAATACTAATTTTTAGACCTATTTCTGGAAGTGGGTTTTTAGGGTGATGTGTGTGTCGTAAACTTTTAACAGACTATTTCTAAAGCCTAACTGAAATAAACCGACATTGTTTTCTTTTCGAACATTATAGTAAGTTATGTAGGTACACGATGATAAATGATAGCGTTCAGTCAAGATAGCTCGGGCAGTGTGCTGGACCCATGTAATGTTATGCTGAAACATTTATCTCGATGTTTTGTGTTGAGTAAAGCGCCATTCTGTTAGACAATATATCAGTTTGTGTGACGCCATTAGTATAGGAAAATTGATACCTTGATGCATAAAATAGGGCTGTTTTTTGTAGACAATTTGAGACTGTGAAAACTTACTGCCATATCAAACCTATAATTAGCTACAAAGTCGGAAGGAAGCTCCTAAGATTGCTTCTGAGGCTATTAATTAGGCCTTAATGATCAGTGTCAATATACATAAAAGCGAACAAGCTGATGCTTAAACTGTGTCAGTGTCTAGTTTTGCTTCGTGTAATATATTTTGGGAAACAGTTGAATTTAGCCTAGACTTTTAACTTAGGAAAGCCAAAATAGACAGGGGTATTTTTTTATATGAAAAATTATTTTCTGTTAATATTATGAAGTGTATTGAAACTGTGTTTTGTTAAAGATGAATTATACAGCAATAATTATAGGTTAATTAAGTTAGTCTACCAAGCTAATTTGTGGAAAATAACTTCCTTGTCTTTATTACTTTTAATATATAATTCCTCCTTAATTGTATTGGCTATTTTATGATTTTAGTGAGGGAATGGCTTGGGCTTGGTTACTATTAACATCTAAGGTTACATGTTATTTCATTAAATAATTAAACTGTGTCTTAAGCCAAATATATAATGGCAGCGATTGAGTTAACTCTTGTAAATCTGGCTAAACTATTCTTTCTAACTTATAGAATTTGTCACTTTCATATTAAAAATAATACTTTACTGTGTAACTTGTGTGAAAATTTCAGTATTTCAAAGAGGGATTTATTATACACATAAGTTACATTGAGTGTTAAGTTACCTGGGTAGTTCAAAGTTTCTAGTATTTGCCCAGTAATCAAAAGGTTCCCAGTTAAATCATAAACAAATTCAAAACTTGTTAATGGCTCAAAACTCTAGCTCTCCTTAATCATTTCGCTTTTCAACAAATAGTCACCACTAAAAAACAGCTTGGCCTTGTCTTTGTTAGTAGCAAACTAGTCAATAAGTCTCACACCATTCTACACTCATCCTTCACTCATTTTTGGTTCAAATACACCCAGTTGGGTTCTCATCTCAGTTTGTAGGTAAATAATGTAATGTTTCTGTTGCAGTATGTGTACAAAGGAGAAAGGCGAGACGTCGCTACCACCCCGAGAGAGAGCCTGTATCCTTGCTCAAGACTGCAGTGTCAGTGAGTGGGGAGACTGGGCCGTTGTCCAGGAGGGCTGTGTGGACGCCACTGGCAATGTAAGATACCTCACACTACAAACTATCTCTGCTTTACCCTATAATATCTAGGTTACAAGACATTAGGTAGCCTAACTATAGGCCCAGGTCCTAGGCATAATGATAGATCTAGCCTAGCTCCATTCTAAAATCTCAGAAGATATTCAAAATTGTGAAGAAAACAAAAATTTATTTAGGTAAAATTGGCCAAAACAATTTCGTCCAAACACTGAACTGAGTCCATGGGAAGACTCAACCCACTATGATCACTTGATGACGTTGCGTTGGCCTTTTTCAGTTCATTATTAATAGTTGAAATGAAATTAAATTATTTATTGTCGTTAATACTATGTACAAAGTTCATGACAATCGTCAAAAGAAAAACAAAACAATAAAGATGGCTCTAGCAACTAAAATAACTAAAACTCTAAACCAAAGTACTCTTCATGTTTGTACAGGCAAACCTGGGTTAGAGTAGTTTTTAAAACTTGTTAGAATTTTAAAACACACAGGTTTTTGATGGATGCAGGCTAGAAATTGTATATTTTAACACCTTGGTACTAAAAACTATTTTGAGTGGCTGTATACTTATGCCTTAGTGTAGACAGATTATCTTTTGATCTAGTACAATAGTTGTGCACATCAGATATCTTTCAAAGTGAGAAATGTTTTCTTTTACATACAACAAATTTGCCAAAACATACAAAGATGGAAATGTGAGAATGTTAAGACCCACAAAAAGGGGCTTACAATGTGTTCTTCTATTCACACTACAAATTATCTTCACTGTCTTCTTTTGTGAAGTAAAAAGCAACCTGTTAGCATAAAAACTGTTGGCCAACAGTTGGTGTCGAATGCTCCAGTAAAATATTTCCGATACGCTAATCTACTGGTATATGTTATCAAGAAACCCATTAGGTATACCATTTACTACAAAGTTATTATCTTGATACAAGATCTTAGTCATGGACACAGTGTATTCCACAATGCAATCCCACTTTATGCAACAACTTTGTTAAATATAAAATTTCACAACGCAAAACACTTCACACTTTTGTATAGGCTAACCAAATCTCACATCCAACATCGTTGTACAAGGATAAGATTTCACCATTTGCACAAACTATTCCACATTACAACCCCACTTTATCCTATGTAATCGGCTATGATTACACGCAAATTAGCCTACCATTCTCTGTGGTCCACTTAGTCTGACATTATTGATTTTAGAATGCTAAATGCTTCCTAATGCTTTGAATGCTTAAATGGACATCCACATTGTAGAATGTGTTTTGTGTAACCACTGAATCTAAATCCAACATCACCTTACTACAATTTTATTCAACTTTCAAACAAATAAAATCTTGTATGTTAGCAATTAGACCTATACTTTATTTATTCATTTTTATGTTGAAATCTAACTCTTAATTTTTTTAAACGCTTTGTTAAGAAAATTCAACAAGATCGAATCCAAAGACTGTCCGTGGGCCTGCTGTTGCCTTCTGGAGTCCAAAGTCTATGTTCTTGTTTCCAGGTTTTCCAGTCCAGACTATTTCCGTTTCCGTCACTGCCTTTGTATTACTTCACTAGGCCAATTCATTTTAACGTGGTAAATTTATATACACGGAATATTTATTTCTTTTTACTTTACTTTAATGTCTATTTATCTTAAATTCAAACCGTAACTATTTCCATAATTGATTGTAAAATTCAAGTCATGTAAAACATCTACCATGTAAAGAATATTCCGCTTAACCCTATAGGAATGTAGTAAAACCACCCAAATAATTGTAAATTTTAATGTTACACAAAAATGAAAACAAGATTAAAAAATGAAGGGATTTTCTTTTAAATTGGATCAGTCATATTTTGATGTTAACAAAATTAAAGCACAATAGGTATAGTTTTTTTTAGTCTTCTTCCCAATAATTTTTAAAGTAGTTAACTAAAAAAAACCGAAATAAAAAACCTCTTTAAATAGGAGGCAGTTGATTCCAACCCGATTCTGCTGTCATCAGCAGGCTCAATAACATAATAAAACCCAACAAAGAGTTCTCACATTGAACCTGATGAATGGAAGTGTTGATTCGAAATTGATTTCCATTCAGCATCTTTTGTGCGGAACTCAATCTTTTATATGAATTTAGCGTGGTATGTGATGGTCACCATTGATTTTTGAGGACAGACACTAAAATTAGGATATTTAGATTGTAGATCAAGATTTAGGTTTTCCAAATTTTGGGTTTTAATTTGCCCATTCTTCCAGGATGTTCATATAACATTGCGAACTTGTTCTTCAAAATATGGCTCCTTAATTGCTGACTAGCCTATATCTTAATAAACTTGCCAATACAGTAAGTTATGATACAACTGTCCACAGTGTACAAAACTGTGTTATATTCTTTTACAAGCATAATAGTCAATCTTATTACTCCAACAGTTAAAAGTTCAAAGATAAGCTCCAACTATACGAAAGCTCACTGTAGTGGAAAATCCATAATAAACCAATTTTAATTTTTTCCCCAAATCATTAGTGGGATTGTAATGTAAGGATTTAAATGTGGGATCATTAATGGGATTATTATTATCAAAGAATGTAATATGATCAATAAAAATTTGGCTAGAGGTTGTGGTCTCACAGAAGCCGAGTTCAAACAATACTTGCAAATGGTTGGAGACGTTATTCCTTAGAAGTCTTCATGGGAGATCCAGGGACGGGAACCAGTGCAGGCATTGTCCTGTATCTGAGAAATTTACTCTTGAAACTCTTGCCCACGTCCTTGGAAAGTGCCCATTTAGTAGTCTTCTACGGAATACCCGCCACCATACGATCAGAAAAATCATAGCTGATCAATTCAGAAAGAAAAGTTACGAGGTCTATGAAGAGGTCACGGCTATAGAAGAAGAGGGCTCTGTGAGGTATATAGACAAGGGGAAAGATTTCGGTCTCATTATAGACCCAACAGTTCGTCTTGAGACAAATGAAAATCAGCCACAGGAAGTCCATGAAGAAAAAGTAAATATTTATAAGAAAACTATCCCCTATTATTCAGAAAAATATAAAATATCTAAATTTGAAGTATATGGACTGCTCATTGGATCAAGAGGAACAATTCCTCATCAAGTCGAGAAATTTTGGAAGAAATTCAATTTGGAAAATCAAGTGCTATATTTAATATCTTTAACAGCCATAAAATTTTCTATTAATATTATAAGAAACCACCTATATAACAATTATCATAGTTAGGTTTAAACAAACTTGCAAAATTTAATGTAGTACATGTATTATTCTTTGTTCTACAGCAGACTACAATGTGTAGTAAGATATCAATTTTTTAAATCAATTAGAATTTATATATACCACTACAGTTGGTTTTTATATATAAATATTTGGACTTGTAAACCTGCACTACATACCTACAAACCTGCAGGATACATTGAGAGCGTAGATTCCCTGCAGTAACACGTGCCTAGAGACTGCGGCTACCCCCTCCTCATTGCCTCCCTACATTTACCCCCAATTCTCTCACATATTTACTGTTACTGCAGATTGAACTGTATATGTATACAGTTTCAGTTTTCTAGCCTAAAATATCAAGCTTGAAAACATCTTTAACAAATTTAATTTCAGGGTTTTATTTTAAACGTGAAAAAATATGTTAGGTTAACATACCTTTAAAAACATGTTTAGAAAAAGGGAAAGTACTGTAGTAAATACAGTACTGTAATTGAAAGAAATGTCCATATAAAATCAATTTAGACAAATTTTGTTTCATTAATCTGTATAAATTCCATCCACCCAAACATTTGATTCTTCTTTTTAGATTATCAGTACATCAATAAATCATTGTAATGCTTCAAATTCTATTGTGGATTGTATTTCTTAAAGAACTCTCAGAAATGATTCCTTATCGCAGAGAGGGGTCGTAATGACAGCTTCCCTCTTTTGTAATATTTTTTTTCTACATACAGTAAAATTCGGTACAGTATAAATTCACTATAACAATTATTGTTTCAAAATGAAAGCTTTTGTACCAGAGCAGAACGTTAGAAGGTTAGAATACTCAGAATCAGTTGCAAACATCTTTCTGAACTCTACCTCAGTCACTTTTTATTTACAAAGCAGTAATTTGGAAATTTGACCATAGATTGATGTTTACTATCTGCCTCCACTAAAAACATGTTTTATACGGATATTATTTTTATAAAATAGCAAAATATTTTAATAAAAAATAGGTAAACCGTCAATTAAATCAACTAATAATCCATAAAACTGAACTTGTCCCTCAGTTTATTTCGTAAACATTTTATTTTTTACCTTTACGCCTATTTTCCTCGTCAGGACTCCCGACCTCACACAAACGGTGTGCTGACACATGGTAATTCAAGTGTGATTGAGATGAATCTGCTACATCGGTGGCGCACATGTTTGCATTCCCGTTTGTTTGCGTTTGCTGTTTGTTCGCATTAGTGTGATTTGCATTGTCTGCTATTCCCTCTGAAATGCTGTCAACCTTGTAACTCGTGGTTTAATCGTTCATTCGTCATCCTCCGATTGTGTTGAACGATAAAACGGAAGTGGTTAATAAAGTGAGGTTTTTGTATTGGTAATGTGACACTTATGTGGCAGGTTTTTATAGTAGATATGTTTAGGGGTTACACACTATTACATTTTTTAAATATTTTATTTATTATTAGTATTTGCTTTTAAAACTAGATGAAATAATAAGCACGTATAATTTGTTTCATGGGAGTTAAATGAAAAACCATATATTTTCCAATGGTCGAAAATAAAGGCCTTCTTCCACAAATAATTTTAATGTAAAAGATTTGAAATAAAATGTATATCAGTCTAAAATCTGAAAAATCTTACCTATATGTTTCTACAATTTGTCTAAAAAACCACTAGAGCTTCATGAATTTTATACTCAGACATTTTTTCAAAAAACATCTTAACAAGGAATTTTTTTTAAGGTTGGACTATGTTGAAAATTAAGTACAAAGGATAAAAAATGGCATTAATAATTTAGGTGTTGATTTTATTTTATCACAAAAACCAATTAGTAAAATAATGAATAATGAAGTTTATGATCAAATTAAAATATTTTTTTTTATTTGTCTGCTGGATTCTTTACGGTTGTCATTATTTATACTGTACTACAAATACAGCCAAAATATGAGAGATTGACCATAGCAATTTACATATTTAAAAACCGTTATTTCAACAATGCTCTAATCTTGGAAGGATATTCTTCTTTGACCATGAGTATTTTATCATGAAACAGTTCTGTAAAGAATACTCTGGTGGGCTGGTGGGGTTTCCCAATAAATAATTAAGAAGGGGATTTTCTATGGTAAATGTTAACTACAATTAGTCAGGTAAATTTGATTTAGAACACGTTTCAACTGGGTCAGGATTTGGAATTGATCTTTTTCAGAACTAACCTATCCAATAATCTTGGTTGAATGGTCGGTGGTTCAATATACATGAAGGTGTACTGATAAGGCAAAGCTGCTATCTCCTAACTCTACGTCGTCGATACAATCTGCTACAACTGATTCTCGCTCACACACACACACACACTTGTAGTTGTAAGATTAGCTGCTCATCAGTATGCTCCTGCCAGCCAACTTCTATTTGTCTCTCCATCACTCTTGTTCCAATACAACAATACCAACTCAGTTTCATCAATATTCCTCGTTGGGCAGTGTGTGTACTTTGACAATTTGTCACACTTAAGTTAACACTAAACATGTTACTGGTGATTTCTAATTTCAAACTTTTTTAAAGAAGACTTTTATGAATAACTATGGTACATAAAAGTATGTTTCCATTTTTTTTAATTACTGTGCTGGTTATTTATGCCTTAAGTTTTCTTTAAAAGTGAAGAGTCTTAGCTGATGGTTCTTGCTAAAGCTGTAACATTGGTACCTACGAAACATAAAAGTTTATCATGTATAATCCCCATCATCATGTATAATGTTATAATCCACGTGGTGGTGGAAAATATTAAATGGCTAATATTGAGTTTCAGATTCATGACAAAACTTTGAGGAGACATGGCTCAAGAATTAACCTCAAACTGAAAAAAAACAATAATAATCCATAATCCGTCATTTTGGCAAGATTAATTAGAGCAATAAGGACATTCGTGAAATAATCTGAAAATTGCTTCTAATAATAGTTTGAGAAGATTACATTTTGAGAATGTACTACTTCTAAGGCCCAATTAATTAAAACTTAAACATAACCTTACACTTACCAAAAAACTTGTGCTCCAACTTCTCTATTTTTCCCAACACTTTGAAACTTAGCAAACTGTTTCCTGGATCAAAATTCTTAACTTGCTTAAAGCAACATTCTCTATAGCACAACAACTTATTGTTTAACATCTCTACCAGCCTGGTAGAGTAGGGAACTACTTGCTAGAGAAGTAGGGAACAGAGGATACATTCAATGTATACTTAAGTGGTGTCTCGAACTAGTGCTTGTATCTAGGGCAAAGTCCGGCTCCCCTCACCCTCATCTACTACATTGCTCATGTTGTAGGAAGACCTGTGCCCATTGCGATGGGCATTTCCGCACAGCACTTGCCGTTCTAGCCCTTCCTTGCTCATCACAAGTATACTTCCGCCCCAAAATACCAGAGCTGAAAGTACACAGTAGTCCCATCCCATAAGCATGTTTAATCTGTACCTTACTTATCTGTTACCCTTATTGTTACAACCTTGGGCCTGGAAACGTGAATAGAAACATACCTTGAACAAAATATTGTAAATTTTTCTATTGATTGCAGGTTTGGGCAGAGATCACAGAACGAAAGCGAGAAGTTCTACGACTCCACGAAGGACAAGGCCAACCATGTCCTCACTTGATAGAGACTAAGTCCACCACTTCAAACCTACCTCTCTGCTCTCACAAGTTAGTTGAAAACATTTCTCTTACCTGGTACTAATGAGGGTGTGGTATTTCAAATTAATTTTCATAGCCCCAGGATTGCGTTAATATGACAAATAATGGTTAAACATACCTCGTCAGACAATCCTTAACTCTTTTGCAATAAAATTAAGTTAGGTATCCTTAAACTCTGAATACATAACAAGATCAATTTCAAACCCACTTACTCACTTTCAATACCCTCGAAGTCTTATTATTTTTACCGAGTCTAAATTTTTCCAGTGCCTGAGATGCTGTGTGTGTTAATGTTAAAAATATTGTGTTTGTAAAAAAATCTTATATTCCTCAAACTTACATCCTCCTTTACAATAAAATTGAGTGAGGCACATCCTTAAGAACTCTGAAGATTACATTGATGTCAAGATCAATTTCAAACCCACTATCTCACTCTCAACACCCTTTAAAGTTGCTTTATTATTTTTTATCCTCTAACTTTTCTGATTCTTGTGTTGATAATATTAGTTTCATAAAACCAATAACACAATTTTACAACAATTTATTATAACCTCTAAATAAATATAGTAAGAATTAAATGTTATACATTAATACAAAATATTAATAGGAACTTTAGTCAATAATTTATATTTCTCTTTAAAAAGTCCAACCTTTGAGAAATTATACACCAAGTGTCTTATTAATCTGATTGATTATAAATTATAACCAACCATGGCACCTAATGGTTTTTTTAGAAAGAATTTCTTCTATGTTTTGTTGGAATGTGGCACTGTAAACTAATTAGTCAATGCATACACTGTAGTGTACATAATATAGAACCAAAACAGTATAACTATGTTTCAGGGCCGCGTTAAGGGTCAGTTGAGCCCTGGGCAAACCAAAAAGCAAGACCCCCTTTTTTCCTAGTGCAGCCGGGCTGCCCGTTTATAAAAGCGGGCCTGCTATGTTTTAAAGAGTCTGTGCTGCTTACATTTTACATTATCCATTACCTCCTAAATTATAGATAGCATTATTCTTATTATACTTCCATAAGATTTGTGAAGAAATTTCATCTATGGTGATTGCGATATTCAAAATCTTTGTCTCCTTAGCTCCAGTTATGATTTGATTTTTTTATTTACGAAATTAAAATGAAATGACTTTATTGTCATCTTAGGCTATTTATTACCTTTGACCACATTTGAGTATTAGTATTGACACAAGTAGATATTCTATCCCCATGATAAAGTTAAAGCAGTTTTAAATAAAAATTGTCCTAGTTGATGTGAACAATTGCAGATTGTGCTGATGTAAATTACTGATTTCTGTTGAATAAACTCACTTTGATACAGATTCAAACTTATGGAACTTATTATTATAAGCTATAGCAACTCTATCATTAACTATGTCAGCAACAAATAGTAAGGAAGAAAGTGGAATTTTAGACACTAGCACATTCTGACACTAGCACTGGCTCACTCAACAAGATTTTTTTGTGAAAACTGTATGTATAGATAGGATGTCTAATTATCCAATAGTCAATGGTATTATTCTTGCAATTACCTACTTAAAATTCACCAGAGGAACTTCCTACTCAAGTATTACCCCTTTGTACAAAAATACATTTACGATTGTTTAGTTGTTACTTTGACTCGTGTATTACTCCAGGTACAGATGGTTGGTGTCCAAGTGGAGCACGTGTACACTGCCCAATGTGATGGCAGAGGTGGTGTGTGGTGGAGGTCTACAGTTCAGGAACATCACATGTGTAGCAGCCCAGGGTGGCCAACCTCTCCCTACCAAGGCTTGTCATACAATTCCACCACCGCCAACTGTGCAGAGGTAAATCGTCCTACTCTAAGTACAGCTTGCTATTGGGTTTCAAATTCAGCCATCTATTCTAACAATGCTGCTGTAAGAAGTCGTGCCTCTACTCTAGGTTTGGGCTGATGGTTGTTCATCGAAAATTACTCCATTCCTTGTTCATATGGTAGTCGAGGGCCCTAATAGGAGATAGTTGGGCTATTAACACAACTGGAAACATCATGTGGATTGTGAAAACCTTCCTCGTGGCCATCTTGAAGGCGGCGAAATAGATTTCAGCTATTTACTCTATAGATTAGTTATTTGAGTTTTTTAGCTATTTTGTAAATTGGTATTTTGACTTAATGATTTTAATACTGACTTTGGTAGCCTATAGTAGTATAAGAATGTTAGAATAAATGAAAGGAGTGTTTTATGAATCCTTATATTTTTTGGTTAATTACAAAAACTGTGCTTATGGCTTATGGGCGCTTTGTACTGCACAATGAACACAAGTAATAATAGGAGTATAGGGAGTTTTTGTGTGGTCCAAAGAGTTGTCTAAAGAGTTTGCGGGTAGAGAAACTAAAAAGGGGGGATATGAATAGATATCCTACTAGAAGTCATATAAGTCATATAGTAAGGCTTCCATGATCACAATTACTAACACAAAGTCCTTGTTCTTCTGGGTACGACCGCATCAGAAAACTAGGAGAAATACTAGTTGCTGACGTTTCGGCTTTGTTGCAGATAGCCATTTTCAGAGCTGGTAACAGTTACTAACTAATGTTTGTTTCAGTTAGTGCCTGTTACCAGCTCTGAAGATGGCTATCTGCAACGAAGCCAAAACGTCAGCAGCTAGTATTTCTCCTAGTTTTCCGACGCGGTCGTACCCAGAAGACCAAGGACTTTTTGTTAGAAGTGATATGTAAATTGTAAACATCCCCACTTTAAACATCAATACCACATTTCTAGTACTATGTCACTTCCTGTTTTTCCTAACCCCAATCTCCTCAGACCCCCTACTTATATACTGTTTTTAGTATTGTCCCTGTTATTTGGCAGATGTGAGGTAGCGTGTCCCCGAGACTGTGAGGTAGGACCCTGGGGTGTGTGGGGTCCTTGTCTACCCCAACACTGTCCTCCCTCCGATGAAGCCAACCTATCTGCTAAAGGTATGTTAGATGTTTGGTACCCACAGCTTGACGATTCCTTGGAATCATACATAAAACTAGTTATAGAGTAAGAAATATGACCAATGCGGAATACCTTGACTCAACAGTTTCTTTGGGTGATCCAAGAAACGTTTAAAACTATTTTAACGTTCACAACACAAAATTTAAAATGAATGTTTAAAATACCTTTAGAACTGTCAAGTGATTCTGTTTTTCAGTTACGTGAGCAAAGTTGTCAACCTATCAATCAGTTTAAAGGTATCCTCTTCATTCCTAGCGTTGTTTTAAAAACATTAACAACAATTTAACCAGATTATTTTTTTTTAGTTTAAAATGAAATTATAATTATTTGTCCAAGTATTATGACTCCTGCTTATTAACCAAGATTATTTTGCTACCATTGTTTTTAGGTTTTGACACGGAATTGAAGTTATTTTTAATTTGTACAAGTACTGTGACGTCTGAATGTGAAAGAACACTCGTAACTATCTGTGATACTAAGTAATTATCCCAAACTAGTCTTCTGTGTAGGGCTGCCTACATGTACTAAAATGGATTCTCCGATTGAAAAGTGAAAAATTATATGATAGTAGAAAGGAGATAATTTTTATAAATCACCACTTGTGTTAAAAAATCCAGATTAGTTACGGTAATTAATCTTTCTATGTTTCTTCATTCTGTGGTAGGTCACCGCAAGAGGACGAGAGCCGTGGTTGTGCCTCCTAGTGCTCTGGGGCTGGAGTGTCCCTCGCTTACTGAGGTACAACCTTGCGCACACCCCGCCTGCTACTCCTGGACGGTGGATGCGTGGGGGGCCTGTCAGCTGGAGCCCGGGGCTGCGGCCAAGTGTGGCACTGGGCGACGCACTAGGCGAGTAGCCTGTACAACACACACTGATGCTACTGAGTTTAAGGTAAGGGATATAAATTTGATGACAAAACTCCTTGCTATGCCACTCAACAGTTGACTTGTGTAACGATTTGGTGTAGAGGTAGAGTGCAAACTTTGGTCCCCAAAGTCCTTGGTTCAAAACCTGCCATATATCACCAATAACTCTTAGCTACTTCATGATGCGTGGCCCTGGACTGGCTAGTAATTGGAAGCTAATGATTTGGTAATACACAAATCACAAAAGAATACTAATCTGGCTAAACATAATATATCTTAGTTTATGTTAATAAGGACATTAAATTAATGTTTGTATCATTAGTAAAGTGAAATAAATTATTTGATCACAAATCTACCTTCTTAATGTGAAACTCTGAATATTCACAGAAAACATAAATACTATCCTCTAATTAGTAATTTTAACCCTAGAGTAGTGTCTTGATTTGTATCACACATTTAGTGTCTTCGGTCTGTGAGGCCGTTTTTATTTGTTGTATATAACTATAATTTTAAAGATAAAACTATGTAAAATTATTACTCCTAATATGTTTACATTTTTATGTGGTTTATCGTCAAATAAAACCCATCTGAGTGTTGGTAAAATATTTTTGAAAAAAAAACTAATACATTTATTAAAAGTTGATAAAGTAAAACTTAAAAAAATACTGTTTATAAATTACTAAAGCCTCATCTCATATATTTTGAAAGTTTATGGACTAGTTGATGTAAAAAAAAAAACATAAGGCATCAGAATTCCGTCAATTTTTAACGTTTGACTGAGACTTCATATAATGCCTGTTTTACCCATAGAGTAATGGCGACTTTGATTAGCCTACACCTTTGGTGTCTTCGGACTGTGACACCGTTTTCGTATTTTATAAATATTTTATGTAGGTACATAACTATGGAGGTACCAGATATAAACTATGTCAAATGATTACAATTATCTTCGGTCTGTTGGATCAATCACACCCTAGGTGTCTTCGGTGTAGGGGACCGAACAATTGCAGATGAATCTGTAACCTCAAAATTACGCCCTTGCCCCTGGTAGACTGAGTCGAGGTAGGAAGGTAGCAGGAGACCCAAGTCCAGCACCCTAGCGTGGGGGGGGGGCATGAACTTGAAAATATTACGTCATCGGACTCACATACCAAAGACACCACTCTAAGGTAAGTCAAGGATGTAGGTTGTTTGTGAGGATAGCAGACTTACCTGAATAGGAAAGACTTCAAATTGGCAATCTCAGTTATTAACCATCTATTTATTTTCTGTATCTGTTTATTGAGAACGAGACAGTTTAACCAATCAGGATGTGTTTGCCCCAGGAGGTGGTTGCTGATTGGCTGTGTCCCCAGTTGAAGCCCCCAACGGAGGAGCCGTGTCTACTGCCTTGTCCCTACGACTGTGTGGTGTCGGGTTGGTCAAACTGGAGTCCCTGCTCTCAGAGCTGCTCCACACGCAACAAACTGGCAATGAGATACCGCAACCGTACCATCATAGCCCCTCACGGACCTGGTGAGTCTATTGTGGAGACTGGCCTATCTATCTTGTTGATTACAGGGTTAATTTACAAGCTACTAGCCAACCAGTATCAGGCTTATCAGCAAGCAAAACATACAACTACCATCTATTAACTAAAGCTAAGATTTCCTAGGCGCGGAAGAGGAGTGCGGAGAGCGGACAAGGGAAAAGAGATTAACATGAGGTTCCGCTCCACTTCTAGGAAAACAGTAGCATTAAATTGCCTAAGTCAAGTAGTGTCCGCTCTCCGCGTTACATGTTCCACTTCCGCGCCTAGGAAACATTTGGGATAGTTTTACAATCTGTTTTGCTCAAAGTCTAGTGAGTGGCAAGCAAAAGTCGACAGAGTTAATTGTTTTTAATTCAAACGGTTTGATTTACTGTCGTCTATGGTGACTGGTTTCAAGATTAAAATCTCCTCAGGCTTCTTCTAATGTCATATCACTCAAGTTAAGATCCTAGTTGGTCATAAAAACATGAACAGAAAACATAAAACTTGAAAACAAACAGGCTTTATACAAATATGTATAACTGGCTAGTCACGACCACCTTAACTTGAGTGATACGATATTTGAAAAATCCTGAAGATGAAATTTCAATCTTGACACCGGTCACCATTGACGACATTAGGATTATTGACAGATAGCTAAAATAAATCATTTAGTACCACAAGTGATCATGGTCCTCTAAGCACTGTGATATAGAGGGTTTTTAATAGCAGGGTTCTTACGAGTGGGGCCAGTCATAACGATTTATTTCATCCATAAAACTCAACTGAGCCGGTATTCAAACTCAAGAAAAAGTTTAGTATAAGACTATATTAAAAGTGTATTTTTTCCAGGTGGTCATCCATGTCCCGACCCGGATGAGATGTTGCAGATGGACGGTTGCAACAGTCACGGTTGCCACGGGTACAGCTGGCTGACGTTGCCGTGGCAACCGTGCAACGCCTCATGTGACTCAGGGGAGGGAGTGCAGGTGCGGGAGGTGTGGTGTGTACAGGACAATCAGGATATGGTGAACGAGAGCAAGTGAGTAACTTCTGTTCTAAATATACGGTACAGTTACCTTGAAAAATTTTAATTGGATTTTTAAATTTTAAAAACTATAAAACTTTATTAACTTATATTGCTGAAGTTTGGTAGCTAATTAGTTGCAGTCATGGGTATCGGGCTACAATGTATCAATAAATTTTTTCAGATAAAAAAACAAAAGTTAAATATATAAAACAATTATCAGACCATCTCCTGTATGGATCAGAAAATTTGACTCTGAATTAAAAAAAACTGTGAAGAAAAAAAGATTAAAATATTGTAAATAGAGATGAAATAAAGTTAGTTTTCAATTTCTTTTTTAATTATGCTAAAGTCAATACATTGATGAAGCAAATTTAGGTACCGGTACAAATATTCGTAAAATCAAACATTTTGTACCAAGCTATTCCAAATCCCCCAGACCCTCCAGCCGTTATCAGCTAAAGGGGTTATAAAAAAGTTGCCCATGGTTGCAGTGCATACCTGTCAGTCAAAAGATCACCATTCCAATATTGAGGAAAGCCAGCAGCTTTTTGGTGTTTTGAAACTGGTACTCATGTCAATGAGGTTTTAATAATATGTTTTAGAAAAAAAGATTTTACACTCATCCATGATCCAGGTAGATCCCTCACATATAAGTGTAAGATACGCACTTAGATGATTTTTCATCTTAAAAGTAATGATAATAATGTTAAAGATTGTCTTACACTTAATACATTTTAATGAGACCACCATAAGCTTCTTTTTAGAAATCCATTCAATGATCTATTTCGGCCCTGTTTGAATAGATTGGCAGAAGGATTCACCAAGCAAATCAAGTCAAACAGTGTATTAAAGGTTGTTTAATATACTGCTAAGCGAACCCTATGATGGAGTCTTTGAACTCACTGAAGTGCTAATGTAATACAAATTTCAGTTGATTAAAAGTCCCGTTCAAAGGCGCTGACTGTAACTCCTTAACTGTAACTGACTGTGACTCCTTTATAATCAGAATTAATATGCAGCAGAAGAGAAGTATCCTCATCAACTACCCTAGTTTAATGTATTTCTGTTGCAGATGTGAGCTGCTGCCCAAGCCTGCCACGTCTCGTAGCTGTGTGCAGGACTGTCCAGTACAGTGTGAGGTCTCTCCATGGTCGGAGTGGTCACCCTGTCCACCCCAGAACTGCCAACCTAGTATGTGTTGTGTAAAATGCCTTTGTAGATGTCTAAACCAACAATAGATCAGACTATCAATTTATCATCCTCGTGGATCAGCTAAAGATGTTTTTATGGGTGGCCTCTGAATCATTGATTTTTACAATAAAAGGTTTAATTTACCTGTATCCCTCAAGTGATCCTAGATTGTAGTCCCGGCACACAAACATTCAGTTGTCTTAAATTGCCTCACCCAAAGAGCTATGGAGTTCCAATTAAGTGTCCCCTACCTAAAATTAGTCTGAAAGTCCGCAGAACTCTAACATCTGTACAAGCAAACTCTAAAATACAAAATGCCTTTTCTTGTGTTTTAGTATTCCTTTGTTAACTGACAGGTTATATACAGGCCCACTTTTATAAACGGGCAGACTGGGCATATGCCCAGGGGCGCCAGAGGTTTGGGGGCGCCCACCAGGTGCCCCTTAACCACCGCCCGCCAGCACTAGGAAAAAAAGGGGGCGCTGCTTTTGGGTTTGCCCAGGGCTCCACTGGCCCTTAACACGGCCCTGGTTATATAGTATTCAACTAAGCAACTGAGACCAAATAACCTTGTCAAAACAAACATAGAAATAGAAACTTTACCATTTGTTATAAAAATCAGCTATCTGAAATCAGGAAACAGACGTACCAACCGTTTAGTTTTGTGACATTCTTATTGGAGATGAGTGTAAAAAACCCTGTGTTTCTGTCCGGTATAACGTAACTAGAGATTGTTATTTAAGAAATTTTTGCGGACAAAGTTTTTACATCGAGGAATACCTGGAATCTGATCCCGTACCTAGGTAAAGTATCTAAAAACATAATAAAGTAAGAAAGTATGTTTACAAACCTAGCCAACATTGGAAAATCACAAAAGAAAAACCAAACAGAGAACTTGATAGTGCTACAGTAATCAAAATTAAGAAAACAAACAATCCTGAAAGAAAACAATAATTAGTACACCTTGAGAGTAGAAGCCCACAATATTGTCTGCACATGATGGTAGCTCCAGCTATAGCCTACACTGTATTTTTCCTTTAAGGTTTACCAAAACAAATTTCAAACTTTAATATTGCTAGAGAACGCATGGTGTGAGCGACAGATGGTCACATTTGGTTCCTACACTTGGTGTATTGCCTGCAGATGGTACGAGAGCAGGACCGACCCAACAGTCGCGCTATCGAGTGGTGGTGGAAGGCTCGGACTGTGGACCTCTGGAGGAGACCAGGGAGTGTTTCACCCCCAGTGAGCCATGCCCTAGACACCAGTGGGGCACAGGAGAGTGGAGCCAGTGTCAGGTGGCTCATGATGTCCGCTGTGGCCATGGGCTGAGGACTAGGGGTACGTATTGTCACTTGCAAGACTGTCTTGGAGGCGAAGTCATTAGTACATAAGCATACATAAGTATTTACTTCTTTCTTCTTCCACCGCATTGAAATGTTCACTTTGCCACATCTGCAAAATTATGCTTTAGAATCACACAATGTTGGAATATAACAAAACTAAAATGTATAATGATAATGATTTTTTTCAAGACTATCAGAAGAGCCTGTCAAAAGAAAAGTCTTTGTACCATGTATCAGAAGCTTCCAGTGCACAGGTAAATAACTGGTTCTGATTGCAGACTTGTGGTGCAGTGAGGAAGGCACAGATCGCAAGGTGGAGCTCCGCTTCTGTCTCGCCACTCGGGCTCCGCTGCCTGTCACTGTGCAGCGTTGCCACATGGACTGTCACGTACCGTGTCAGCTGACTGAGTGGTCCTCGTGGAGCCTGTGTCAGCAGCCTTGCTCCGGAAAACGCTCCCGGACCAGACAACTTATCGGTAGGATACTGTGGCTTGACCAACTCTGGAGTTGACGAGTTTAAGTTCATTTTAGTGTTTGGATTTGTTTAAATGTAGTAAATACTCTTATGGGAAGGTAGTCCAAAAGTTTAATCCTTTGAGATCCAAAGACTGGATTCCAAGACTGGAGATTGGATTCGAGCATACTTAACCAAAGCTTTCTTTACAACTATTTGATCACTTTGGTTCTGCGCAGCCACAAGTAAATGTCCGTAACTTTTGTAACTCTCAGAAAAGACTTATAGATGCAACACATTCTGGTTTTGCAAATTTGATCTTGATCTTGTACCATTACTCCATTATTCACACGTACTTTTTTCATTTTTACATACACTTTAATTCATAGGCATCTGTCATTTGGTGATGGATTTCATTTGAGGTTGGCAACTTAAGCAACAAAAATTTTAATCAAGACTACAATGTGTAACTGGCCGTGAGTTTTCCCGGTCATTGATAAAGGCTATTAAGACTGAGCTTTGCATAGATTTTGGAAGAAGTAAAGAACATAGTGCCAGGGTTATATTTGAGCTACATTGCTCTATCAGGCAGAAGCTCTTTGGAGATCTAATATCACAGACATCCCTTGTATTGCCCTATTTTTTTCTCATAGATTTGCTGACCACCGTTTATTTTACTAATTTAAATCTCCTCCCTTTCTTCTTAAAAAAAAAGTATTAAATTATGACAACATTGTAAACTAATTAAAACCCAAAACTGTAGTAACATTTGCCTAGTGTGATTGTAGCAATTATATTATTCTCACTTTGACCACAGGTCTGTCAGAAGCACATGCTGTCTGTCAAGAGATGCCTCTGGTGGAGACAAAACCTTGTCCTTGTGAGATGTACTACTCTCGTCCCATCTCTAATTGGTCGAGTTGTCTGACCAATGGCAGTGAGGGGTGTGGCCTCGGCACACGGTACCGAGCTGTCGGCTGCTACAATGACAAGGATCAGATGGTGGACCCAAGGTGAGAAAGTAAAGTGTAAATTTGGACCATTAATAGCATTAAAACTACCGTTCCCAGATTAAGAGACCTTGAAGCCTAAACATTCTAACTCGTAAAACAATTAAAAAAACTACAAAGAAAATTTATAATCACAAGTGCACTAGATATTTAAATTACAATAACTTTGGTATTTGAAAAAATATTTTGTGATAGTAAATAACTCTTCAGCGGCTGTTTGAAATTGTTTAAATTAACATTGCTTTTGTAGCGAGAAAATCCAAGATGGCCTTTATCTTCCATGGACTCCCTTTTCCTGGAAAACAAATCAAAACAACATTTAAAATGTCAAATCCCACAGTGTATATATTTTAATTAAAACCACTATGTTTAAAAAAATATATATCTTTGGAGTAAATTAAAGTACCCTAATGTTTGTGTTTCTTGTGCCCGAGTGGACTCTTTCACATTCATGTAATCCTGCTATCCTCATAAAAACTCTTGCAAACTACTGTTAACTAGTGTAAGCATCTAAGATATTAAGACTGCGATGTTTGTTACAGCATGTGTGGAGGAGGCTCTGGACTACAAGAGGAGCCCTGCCTGGTGCCTTGTCCTTTAGACTGCCAGTTGACTGAGTGGTCGGCCTGGGGAGACTGCAACGTCAGGTGTGGCCCCGGGCTGCAGAACCGCACAAGACAGGTAAAGTATATGATAGATCGTGTAGGGGACTGTAGCCTTAAGTAGTCACATTGTGGGCCGTTTGGGTTACCCCAATTCCTTCAGAGACGGTCAAACTTAAAGTACTTCATTAACTGTTGCGTTCTGCCCATGAGGTTTTGCATCCCAGAGATTTCTTGGTTAGTAGGGAATGTTGCTAAAGGCGGTTTCACACTGGCATCCGCGGACGATTTCCTCGTCCGCGGACGGATGCGAAAATAAATCGCTGCCCATGTTATCAGATGGGACCGTTCACACCGCCCATTGAAACGTAGCGTCCATCCGCGGATGCAGAAATTCGTCCGTGGACGATTTGGCGGAATCTCTCTGGGAGCGATTTTTCTAAAACGTCCGCGGACGATCACGCCCTCAGGCATGCGCAGGCAGAGCAGTAGCTCTCAGCGAGGCAAGTGTCACTCGCATCACAGTGTTCAGTAGTTTGTGTTTTTCAGTCATAGTGTTCATGTAGTTGTTGTTTTGTGTCCTCCCTTGTTGTTTGTTATGGCTGAATTAATTGAGGCTGTCCGTGCCTACCCAGTTATCTGGGATACAACTATAGACATTTATAGAGATCAACAAGAGAAAGATAAAATTTGGTTGTAAATTGCGACTACACTCCAAAGAGATTACAAAGAGAATAAAGTATCCTAACCAATAACCATGTATATTTATACGAATTACTGTACAGTAAATCATTATTACAATGATTTGTATTACAATGATTATTTGCATTATTACAATGATTCACCAAATCGCTGCCGCTTACTGTTAATCGGATGAACCCACTTTCTCCTTTTTGATAATGAGTACAAAAGTACAACCTCGTCGTCACTATCATCACTACTTGAATCAAGCCACAGAACAGAAAATCCGGGTTGACACCATGGGACAGAAGGCTCAGACATTTTGCACACCTCCACTGAGTTGTAAGAGGAAGTATGTTCTATGATTGTAGTAGGAATGGCCAACTTCCCTATGCGCATGCGCGAATGAGTGGACGTTTGAAACGTAGCTCGCAATGTGAAGGGTGCGCGTAGCATCCATCCGAATCATTTCATCCGTCCGCGAACGAAATTATCGTCCGCGGACCCCAGTGTGAAACCGTCTTAAAGTCGGTTGTATAAGTGGGTTGTGGGTTGTTGGTGAAACCAAAAATCTACGTGAAAAGTCGGTTTCAGTTTAATGGTTATTGTTCAATAATTTTGCCTGCAGTAGTTGGTTAGGAGGACTAAAAGGTTTATCAGATGTGTTTACACCCATTAGCAGTCAAGTCACAACCAGAACCAAATCATGACAATAATAATCATGTTGTCGTTCTCAAGGTTCAAGTACTTCCAAGAGTACAAGAGTACAAGAGTGTTGAGTCAAAAGTTGAGTTCATAAAGTTTTATTACTTTGATTGCTATTCACTTTTATTCCTTTACGACTTCCATTATTTAATACTAGGGAAGTTATGATAATTTTGTTGGCCAATGTGATCTGAAGCTAATATTGAGCACATAGTTTTCCACCTCAATGTACCTTGTATCCTAAATACCTATGACTGGGAGGGAAAAATAAATTCACTAGGTGGTGTAAATGAAATAAGCTAAGCACATCATCAGCCAAGCTTAGCTAACACTCTCTCATATTTTGCTACAAAACTATGTTCTTTTTCAGGTGGCACAACCTGGTAATGCAGGGGGTAGACAGTGTGGACCACAGACCCAGTGGAAGCTGTGCCAGGTGCCGTGTGAAGTGTTCCAGTGGCAGGTGGGAGGATGGAGTGAGTGTATCCTGATACCTGCTGACCGCAAGCAAGGATGCGGCACAGGAGACCAGTACCGTCAAGTCAGGTCTGACCATCATCATTTGTGGTGTTACTAGTACACAGAATTTGTTTTTTGTGTCAACCATGTGATTAGTTTTAGATTGCTACCAGACGTTTCACCCTTATGAGGCATCCTCAGTGTCTAGGTTGAAACTGGAAAAAAAGCCAGTTGAGCGGTTTTATGCCTCTTGAAAGGAAGGGTCTAAAAACAATCTCAAACTTAAGATGCAATTGAGGTAAAAAACAAAAAAACATTGTGTATTCTAAGTTCTAATAATCCTATAATAAGTTCATAATAATCAAAATAACAAGAAACATACTTGCTAGAGCCTTTTGTTTCACTTAAATGTTATTAAATTAATGAAAAGTTAAAAATACTTGTAATATTGACGAGTAGTCCTGTCTTCTCATTTCGTTATGCTTGGCTATTCTCAACATTATGTCCTTTGACAGGTGTATTGACACTCGGACAGACACACCTGTGGATGACGAGTACTGTGATTGGACAACACAGCCAGTAGACATCAACGCTTGCCATGTAGCATGTCCAGGTGACTGTGTTCTCAGCGCTTGGTCGGAGTGGAGCTCATGTCCTAAGGTAATCCTACAGTTGTTCTATAATGTGTTGTATGCTCAAAGGGTTTAGCAAACCCTGGGTAGGAGTAGGGTTTAGAGTTTTCTGGGAAGTCACAAGAGATCATGCCACCGGTTGAAAATCAGAAATGACGCCCATGAGGGGGGGGCCCAAGCTTACATGTGCGTAGGGCCGCTGAGGTCATAATCCGCCACTGCCAAAAGGAAACTTAAAACATACAACTTTTGCAACATTTTGTATTTATATGTCTCCAGGGTTGTGTGGGTAACGGACAGCAGCAACGGACACGCTCCCTGCTACGTGCTGCCGCCACCAGGGGAGCTACCTGTCAGCATACAATACAGACTCAGGCTTGCCAACTGAACATCACCTGTTTCACCTACCATTGGGTGGTGACCAACTTCAGCTCCTGTCTACCCCTGGGTGGCAGCCCCTGTGGTGAGGGGATGACAACCAGAGCCATCTACTGTCAGAGGAGTGACTCTAGGCCTGTGGAGGACAGGTGAGGACGGACAATATTCTTCATTGACATTGACATATCATTGGAGAACAGTACAATATCTGGTCCACTTGGAAGCAGATAACTAGAGGTGTTCCTCTAGGATCTGTTTTTGGTGCACTTTTGTTCTGAATTTACATCAATGAAATCACAAATCATATCACTAACTCGCACTACGATCTGTATGCTGACAATTTACTCCCACTTCAATGTAGAGTTGGATACTGCTGTGCAACTCATGAACTTTGACATTGAATCAATAACTCACTGGGCCACAAACAACGGAATTAAACTCAACATTGACAAAATTCAAGCGATGATTGTTGGTCACCTAAACTAATGACTAAAATCAACTTGTCCACTGCACCACAACTTAGATTTGATGGACTTAGGTTAACTTAGGTTAAGTGGTATAGAGAGGTCTTGCAAGTCATAACTTTGCCTCTCAAAGGCATTGTTCATTTCATTACTATACGTCAAAAAATGGTTGGTTGAATAAAATTGATTCCATGACATACAGTGCAGTAAGCTGAGTATTTTTTCTTACGTGTATTTGTATCACTTTCACTTTCATTGATACTAATTTGGTTTTTAAATGTAGCTGGTGCAGTGAGGAGACCAAGCCGACTCCGGCAGAGAAGTGGTGTTACGTAGACTGTCCAGTGGACTGCCACGTGGCGGAGTGGAGTGAGTGGAATGCCACCCAGTGTCACTGCGGGGAGACAGGTCGGTGACTTTCAAACTCATAAATCATATTCAAACAATTACATTTTAAGGAGATGTACCCTGATGATTGTAATAAAATAGGTGCTTGGGGATGGAGCAGTTTGTTACCAAGCTTATTTTATTTGAATTTTTCTTATTCCCGAGGTGTTATTTTTTTTAATTTATTTAAATTGCACTGTAATTGAATAAATTGTTACGGTTTTAAACGATTCGATGTTTGGTAAGTGTAGTTTTGTTTAAATGTTTGCTCGCTATTTAGTGGTTGTTTATTTTTTAACCACAACTGTCACCAAACAATTCTGGTGATCATATGGGGATCTAAAGATAATTAGGTACGAATTCACTATTAGTCAAATAGATTATATACTGACCCCAGTGATAAGATAGTGTGCACAACTGGATTTGAACTAACAATATCTGTGTTATCAGTGAAAGACACTACCAGATAGCTAACATTTTCAGTCAGTTTTACAAAATAGTAATTAAGCAAATTGACATAATGGGAAAGATCGTGTCTTTGGCTTCCAAGCTTGAATGTTTCAAGTAAAGGAACCGATCCAACAAAAAATCGACAGATGTCACATTTTTTTTTATTTTCCTCTTATATTAGTAGAAATTGTCTGTCTATTGACAGGTGTGAGTCGTCATGCTTTCATCTCCACCAACCCTTCGTCGTCTGGTCGCCCTTGTCCGTCGCCCTTGGTACAGTGGAAGCCTTGCCCAGCCGTACCTTGCTACTCTTGGCAAACTGGACCCTGGTCTGAGTGTCAACTTCATGTGAGTTAAATATATCTGTAGTTGAGCCTCATGGGCATCGGTTTTATCACAGAAGTTTTATGTAATGTATTTCAAACAATTTAGGATCAGGATCCAGTCAAATTTTTGAATATTATGGATTACGTTAGGTTAGAAATGTAAAGTAAAGTAACTTCGTTAACTAGAGAAAGTATTACAAATTAACAATAGCCTGACTGTAAAAATGGAATATTAGTGCTGCCAAAACCGGTCCTGGGCGGGGAGAACTACCTGCCTGCGGATCGATATCGGTACAAATTTCACGCACTATTGCATTTCATAACAGCTTGTGGTGCCACTAAACTGTCTAACACAATAACCATGTGTTAGACAGTTTAGTGGCACCACATTAGCCCCCTGCGGAGTCTGGAAGACCGGGCACTTTAAATTTCACAGTATGTGAATGTGGTGCCACTAAACTGTCTAACACATGGTTATTGTGTTAGACAGTTTAGTGGCACCACAAGCTTTTATTATACGTCCATTATAATTATTAAAGACCACTTAGCTAATGTGTAACTTAACTTTTCATTTGCATCTTTTTATGAGCTTTAATTTAAGCTTTCGTTGGAGTTTCTAACTTGTCCCGTCGCTGAAATAAAATGCCTTTACAAAAACCATAACAGTTTTTTTTATTGAAGAAAAATTCTAAGACTTATAAATATGCTTTATAAGTAGGCCTATATGTTATAAAAGCTATTAAAATGTCATGTCGATTAGATCAGTAGTTTTTTTTTATAAAATGTTAAAGTCGCCCATTGTTGGTAAAGCGCCAAAGAATCTGAACTTTTTTCATTCAACCCGCTGAAAGAATGAATTGAAACTGCATAAAAATTGTAAAACCAACACACATTTAAACGCAGAAATAAATTCGTAAAATTATGATGTAACTTGTATTTTTCTACGTCTACTTGTTACATTGCAATAAAAACTCAAACTCAAGTATCTATACTTTTTGACCCGACAGTAAAATTCCTATGTTATTATTATGGAAAATATTTAAAATGTTGTAGTTTGCTTGTTTATGGATATATTTTGATCAAATTTGGCAAATTTATTTATTTTATATTCATACTAAGCTATAAATATTTTACTAAAAAACACACTTTTTTTCCCTGTAGCAGCGATCCTAGGTACTCATTAAACCTAATGTTATAAAAAAAATTGAATTGAAAATCAATTCAGGCAAATGGTAATTCGCTTGGAGGGTAGGTTTGCTACAGAGGGGGTATTTTGGAAATAAAGTATACTTTGATTTGATTTGATTTTACGTTCCAGGTTTGGAAAACATGGAAGTATGTTTTCTATGCAAATTATACAATTTCTAAGAAATTCTAAATCTTAGGTAAAAAATATATTTTTGAAAGACAAAGAAATCTACTAGTATTTATTTAACAAACAACTGTAGAATTTCATACTCTACACTTGTACTTTAACATAAAATTAATTATTCATACAATTTAATTTTATTTATTTTAACAATTTTTAAAAAAATTTTAAATTTTTTTATATTTATTTTATTTTTAATTTAGGGAGCAATGTGCGGCCATGGTGTGAGGAACCGTAATGTGACGTGTGTCCGAGGAGGTGACAACAGCACTGTGGAGGCATGGCACTGTGCTGGCTCGGCCAATCACAAGCCAGTGTCGTGGGAGACGTGTCACATCCCGTGTGACAGTGATTGTCAACTCAGCGAATGGTCACATTGGTCACACTGTCATGGCGACTGCCTCAAGGATACAACAGGTGATGAAAATTATCAATACATTAAGACAAACATGTTTGTGTACTACTGTATAATCCATAATTCTTTAAGAACATATCGTAGAAATAATTTAACAATGCTATAGTACGTGTCGTACTGGTTGACGTCAAGAGAGGGATTTAGCTTGCTATATTAGGTCTGAAAAGCTCACTTTACAGTGTGTGGTTGACATCTACGTTCTCATAGAAGACATCCGCCTACAGTACATAAGAGATAACCAAAGCAGTATGAGAACGGTCCTATATTTAAATATTGTACCGTAGATTACTTTCATAATTTTTGTTTACATAATATTTTTCACATTTCTATAATCAGTCATAGAAATTACTTTAGAGTGACTCTATGATCGAGGTTTTGCAGTTTATGTTTTCGCTCTTAATTATTTTATTACAAGTTGCAGTTTTGCTCGATTTCGAGCAACAGGTTATCTAGTTTTTTAAGAATATTTGTTGCTGCTTTAATCACCTACGCTTCTATCCACCCATTTGGATATCAGTTTTATTCCTGTGTTTGATTTTTTATTTTTTATGTTTTATTCTAACGTCCGTACTCTTCTACCATCTTTCTCAATCCTCTCTTATCCACATTTTTTTCACATCATAAATCCACTTTCTTCTCGGTCATTTTCTTAGTCTCATTCGCTTTATCACCACAAACTCCTCTTCTCTATGAATCTTATTGTTTCTTGTTCTTCCCACAAGCCCAACTTATTTTGTTTCTGCATTTTCTACTTACTTTCTCATAAGCAGTCCTCAATTATTCCTCTTCTGATCTCTTCATTCCTATCTCCAAATCACATTATTTTACTCTTAGCTCTAAAAATTTCACTTCCCAACTAGCATTCTGTTTCAAACACATTAATGTAGATTTATTGATCTATTGAATACACGTCAGTACATAATAATAACAGGATACATTCTATAGTTTTCCTCATACAGTAGACTCCCTCTTATCCGGCCAATCCAGATAATGGTTTTTCCGGTTAAACCGAGGTCCCCAAAAACTCGTTAAAACGGACCGTTTAAATTCATACTGTATACAGTATTTGACCTAAATTTAGGAAAGCATTGTATTTAGACACGTGATTACTGGTCTCAAATACTTAAATACTTTTTATTGAAATGGCTAAATCATTTCCACGCCAACAGTCGCCCACTTCCTGCCAATCTAGTCCGGTTAAACCGATGTGCTGATACAAATTGTCCGGTTAAAGAGATGTAATTTCTACCGAATGTACCGAAACTGACGTCCGGTTAAAAGGTGTCCGGATAAGAAGGAGTCTACTGTAAGTAAATATTGATCTATTGTTGTACATTGTACATTTTTCCATTGGCTCTCTGTATCATTAAGTGCTTCACTGTTTGATAAAGCCCTGTGCCTTTTCCCAATCTAGCTGTGCTCTCCTACCTCACCTTTAGCAAAGTTTTAAACTGCTCTTCCAACTCTGGCGTCTTCTTTTTTACTATCAAACCTTGGTTGCTTCATCTCCCGATTTTTCTGATGTCAAGTAACTCGTTTTTTATTTTTTTTATTTTTATTTAAACAAAAATTAAATTCTTCCTTTACAAGCTCTATCCAAACCCCCACCTGCCGAAGAACTTTTCTTACGGAAGAAAATAAAATGTTTCCATTATTGAGCTAAATAAGTATTATGAGTTTCAATTTTGTTTACAATTGTTTTTTAATATATCCTCTAAGGGGTGTGATCACCTATCTAAAGTAGAAGGTGTGATCACTTATCTCTCTGACCACGATGGTCAAATTTTAGATTTTTTATTTGATATACCTCATTGGGAAGGTGGAAATAAAACAAAATATAAGAGATGCTTTTCAAAAGATAATGTAAACCTATTTCTTGAATCACTTAAAAGTGAAAACTGGAATGAAGTTTATTTTTCATGTGTGGAGGACAAATATGATAAGTTTCTCAATATTTTTATGTATCATTTTAACTTAGCTTTTCCTAAAAAAGTTAAAAGGATAAATTATAAGCAAAAATCCTGGGTCACAGAAGAAATAAAACAGCAAAGAAACAATATTATTGACTTAGAGAAAGAAGCTAGAGTAACAAAAAACAAAGAATTGAAGAAATATGTTAAAGAGAAAAATAAGTTATATAGGAAAAGATTCAAAAACCAATTTTTATAATAAGCAGATAAATGAATCAGAAAATGTCATTAAAACAACTTGGAAAATAGTAAATACTGAGGTTGGAGTTCTGCCCAAAAACAAAGAAAATCTAGAATTGACTGTAGATAATAAGAATGTATCTGATGTTTTAGTTATAAGTAATTTGTTAAACAATTATTTTATAAACTGTATAAAAGATCTTCAAACAAAATCAGATATAGAACCTAGTGTACAGAAAAATAGTCTTTCAAGTAGTCTCTCTCCTCATAATCAGACTTTTCGCTGTGAGCCCACAGATGAAAACGAAATTATTAAAATATTAGATTCTTTAAAAAATAAGCAATCATATGGGTTTGATGAAATTCCTGTAACTATAATAAAATCTGCAAAAATACACTTATGTAAAATCTTAGTTCATCTGGTTAACTCTTCTTTAATATCTGGCATTTTTCCAAAAAAATTAAAAATATCCAAAGTTGTACCTATACATAAAAAAGATTCTACAAAAGACATGTCCAATTATCGTCCAATTTCGATTCTGCCATCCTTTTCAAAAATTTATGAAAAAGTCATGTACAGAAGATTATCCCAATTCTTAGAAAATTCAAACATTCTAGATATGTCCCAGCACGGTTTTCGGCCCGGAAAATCGGTTTTCACTGCAGCCGTTTCTTTTATTGAATCCATCATAGAGTCCATAGATAAAGGGGAGAACGTAGTGGGCATATTTATGGATTTAACAAAAGCTTTTGAAAGCGTAAATCATTATCTATTACTTGATAAATTATTGAACTTTGGTGTCAAGGGAGTTGCATACAATTGGTTTAAGTCATACCTTTCCGACCGATATCAGTATGTTGAAATTAACCAAACCATTTCAAATAGGATCACGGGCGCAGCATCGGACTTATGTTTGGTCTCATGTGGCGTCCCACAGGGATCGATTCTGGGTCCTTTGCTGTTCTTATGTTACATAACCGGACTTCCTGAAGTGCTACAGACTGTTCCCCATAGTAATTTATGTTTATATGCAGACGACACAAATTTAAAAATCTCAGCAAAGAACCAAAATGAAATTGAATATTTAAGTTTTATAGAACTAGCTAATATAAAGCAATACTTCAATAATAATAGTCTTTTGTTAAATCCAAATAAAACTAAATTTATTACATTTTCCACAAAGCAAAATCGTAAAAAAATATCTCCAAATATAATGATTGAAGAGGAAATTATTGAACAAGTGAATGAGGCTAAATTTTTAGGTCTATATATTGATGAAAACCTATGCTGGGACAAACATGTCGAACATATATCGAGAAAAATTAACTCCGGTTTATTCGCCTTAAGGCGTATGGCCAGCCTATGCTCACTGCCTGTACTAAAACAAATATATTTTGCTCTGATTCACTCTAATATTTCTTATGGAATTGGCTTGTATGGTGCAACAACAATAAATAATCTGAATACAATTCTAAACCTACAGAAAAAAGCAATTAGATGTATGCTCAAACTTGAAGATGATGACTCCGCAAGAGAACACTTCAAAAATCTTAAAATTTTAACTGTGTATGGTCTGTATATTTTTGAATGTATCTTATTTTTTATAACAAAAACTTATGTACAACCAATAGGTCATCAATATAATACAAGAAGACAGACCGAAAAACATTTTTGAAAAGCATAGATTGGAATTTTTTAAAAAAAAGACGACATACATTGGCAATAAATTCTTTAAAGCACTTCCGAATGAACTAAGATCAGAAAAAAATAATAACAAACTAAAATGTAAATTGAAAATATATTTGATCAACAAACCCATTTACTCAATAGAGGAATTTTATGAATACAACAAAATTATGAAGCAGTAGTGGTAGTTTTTTTTTTTTTTTAATTTATAATTGTATTGTTTTTTAGCTTTATATTTGACGCCATTTCTTGTAATGACATGTACAAGGACAAATAAAGTGATTGATTGATTGATTGATTGATTGATTGGGGTAATCATCTCTTACTTTCAAGGCTATGCTACAAGATCCAGAGCAGTTCTGAGGCCACCGCAGTCCAATGGAGGGGAGCCTTGTCCCGAGGCATTGTGGGAAACTCGAACCTGCGACCTCGGACCTTGCCTCACATTCTCATGGACAATTGCTCCTAATGGACAAATAGTCTGCCAACGCTCCGACGGACTACATGTTGTTGGTATGCATGGCTTCTTGTGGGTTTTGTTAAGACAAAGTTTTTTGGAATTACTTTCAAATTGTTTGTAAAAGTTTAAAGCAATTTTGGTTATGTTTAGTACTCTATTTCTAAAATATGAGGTATCATAACTGTAATTTATTGAACTATCATGCAGAAAGTTTTTCAACTTACTGCAACTGACTTGGGAAAATTCAAAAATTTCTGCGGGCTTATTATTTAATTTCTTTTGTGGTCAGGCTGCTCTTTCTGCAGCCCTTGCCGTCTTTTTGTGACAATGTTGCACTGCCACCCGTAGTTCTGCTTTGAGGGCTATACATTTTACTCTCCATCCTTTACTATCCTCAATTCCTTCCTATTACATACAATTGCTCAACAATATGCAACATCAGTGTGTTTTAGAAAATCTTCTTAAAACTGTGTTAAGCCTAAAAAAATAATTTCTATATAAAAAAGTGGTTCAGAAACACCTTTCGAGATAGTACCATCCCTTAGTTGCCTTTGGCTATATGGGTCATTAATTAACAGCTATCTAAGGAACATGTCAGCCTTAGTTAGTAACAAGACTACAAGATCACGCCACTCATCCTACACTCATATCCATTAATACTTGGCTTAAAATACCTACTTTCGTATGGTCACCATTTCATAAAAAAGTTTCATATGAAAGTTCTCTTTAAATCAAGCCTTTGTTAACCCTCCATTGGTGGGCACAAACACCACAGATTTTTCCTCCGGGCACATTTGTTTTTATGGAAATTTAAGTTTTAGGAGTAACTGTACCTCATGTGCACCTTTCTAGGAACCGATTGAAGTTCTTCTTCTTCTTGACACTAAAAATTTGTCTTTGCCTGCTTTAATTTCTGTCACACAAGATTCAAAGATTTTATCTTGATAAAGCGCCTGTAATGAACTTAGCATTATATTTTTTAATTCAAATTTTCTGACACCAAAATTAATACCCACCCTCCCCCGAAATCTGTTCTAGTGTACCAGGTCAATATCTTTTGGCAATATTTTTCACAACATTAACCACATTTCATATCTGTTTTTAACTCAGGTGGATGTGACGGCAAGAAGAAGCCGACATTGTGTGAATGGAAGGGAGGCCGTTGCAACTGTATAGACGGAGCCGTTGTCCAACCTCAGTTTGCTTGCCTAGAGCAAGCTCAAGTGCAAGCTCGCCTGTATTACCCGAGTGAGTTTTTATTCTACCCTATGTTGTACCTCAATGGCAAAGAAGGGACACACAAAACGCCCTATTCGCTATTCACTAATGTGATAGTTTCGCACAGTCACTGGCATAACTTTCAACCAGTGATGGTTTTAGTTGGAAGATTTTTGTCATCATGGAGATGTTGCTCATAATCTCCTGGCTACCATTGGACCACACAAATCATCATTTCCACAGACCAATTGAAGCACGTATGTGACAGACATATCTGTAGACTACTACAGAGAATTCAGGGCCTTCAAATAGACTGTTTCAAAGATTTAAGCTTTTTGAGTCACCGACGCAAATATGCAACGTCAGTCTATTTAATGACCAGCCATCAATATGCAATCAATATGCATTTAATATGCGACGGCAGTCAATGTGTAGTAATTGGCCGTCGCATATGTAAATGAAACATTTTTTGTCGCTGGTCCATATGAATGACAAATTTTGTACTATTGGGGTAGCGAACGAGTTACCTCAAACCTACAATGAAGTTTGTTTAGCCACCTGTATCCCATTGAAGAAGGCCTAACATTCTAACAACAATCCTTAAAACTTTTTCCCTTGAGTATTGTGTCAATAAAATGGTTGACGATATGTCATAAGTTTATCCATTGAATTATAACGACAATGTCTAAAATTTCGGTATTAGTATTGGATCAAAATTTAATTTATGTACTGACACAAATAAGCTGTACCCTTATATATATATATATATATATAAGGGTATATACAACTTGTGTATACACAAATAAGCTGTATCTGTGTACTTTTACTTGTATCTCTTTTCAGCTTTAAGTAATGTTTCATTTTTCCTTGTCTTCCAAGAACTATAACAGTAACCCACAAGTCAAACACCCGTCAGGTGTTTGCTCAGCTCAGTTCACATCCACTGGGAAAGTTATTTGAAATTAATATTCAGATACTGCTTGCCTCTGGTCAACTAACTAAGTGTAAAGTGAACTGATCAAATATCTAACTATCTGTATAAAAATCCCACGTTTTACAAGTAGCTTTACAACAACTTAATTTTCATTGGTTGATGTCTTGGAGACAGAAACATCTCTCTCACCTCATGTGGTCTGTTAACTAGTCGACGGTTTGTTCCAGAAGACGACGACCTGAACGTGTGGATGTTTGCAATGATCGGGATTGGTTGCGTGTTCATCGTGTTTGTGGCAGCCTCCATCTTCTTGCTCTGGTCAGTATACTCTAGCGCTCACCCCTGCAAAGACAACCCCGACGAGTGCCATCTGCTTGGCATCAACGATGGCAAAAACAACCTTAACGATGACGATGACAGTTAAGCTGCCCGTCCCGCGGTAGATGGGGCAGAGTTCGCATCCAAGATGGGTTTCGTTTGAATTTCGGAAGAAGAAATATCTACAATGTCACCGTCAAGTCGATGTATTGGTGTTATCTAGTCTTTATTTGTTCCTCATGCTAGCCCTTAATTAGGTTCGAAAGTCAAATAAGTGTCACCATCTTGGCTAGACCTGACCCACTCTACAAGCACTGGGTTTTTGTGCAAATTTTTTATACATATCTCTTTTTACGGTATCGGTAAACTTCGTGGCTGCAGGAGAGAAGGGCCCGGTTTTATTCTAGATCGATGTAAATTTTCTATTTTTGCTTCGTATTGTATATAAAAAGCGAGGTAGACACTAGTAACTTTGAAAAGTTTTTGAGCGAGCTGAACTGGTTTTAAAGCGTACTGCTGATAATTTTTGAAGGCTTTTTCGTATTTTTGTTGTTTAATTTGAATGAGAAATTACAGAATGTGTGTAGCATAAGTTGTGGATTTGTTTGGTCGAAGTTGTGTTCATTTCACTTTATGTTGGCTGTGGCAAACTGTTTCACTCATCATGTGCAATTCACAAAACTCACTTTCCATCGCTTGTGCTGCCGATTACATCACCATGTGAACTAATAAAAGCCGTTTAATATTTTCAGTAATACGGGGAAGCAGTCTAACGTTCGAACAAAGTAATGGTAGACGAGGGTCGCCTAGAGCAAGACGACATCGTCTTAGTCCTGACTAAAAGCTAAATTACTTGAAATGTTAACAATTTTAAGTCATTTTTTGTCAGTACGTACAAACTAGGTTCTAACAAATTTTAGGAGATCAAATTTTAACTAAACAATATACAATATTCATAGAAATACATTTACTTGATGTTATACTTATGTACTCGAAACTGTTATTCGAGATTTTTTATTTTCCAAAGTTAACCCTTTTAGAAGTGAAATCCTTTTCACAATCAGTTTTAGACTTGAAACTAATTGTTGAAAATAGTACAAACTAGAGTGCTTATGACATTTTTGGAATGTCAAATAATCATGTTGTTTCTGTTTGTGATGGTTGAAAACAGAGTATTTTTCAGTAGTATCAGCTTTAAAAGCAACAATCCTAGCAGTATTATATTTTGCTCAAAGCTGATTAAGTTTTTTTGTAATCAAATTAATGATTCTGTAAAAGAAACCCAATTGGAATATGTGAAAGGGAATTCATTGAGCTAATTAATTTGAGCTAAGATATTATGTTGGAGTTGGAAAAGCCTTCAAATGTTATTGTAGGAAACAAATTGTTAAGTTACAGAAGAGACACTTATTAAGTCGTTGGAAGACAATTCCAGGATAAGGAACAGTAGCGATTCATGGATATCAAATTTCACAATTCTACAGTATTTGTCCAGTTGAGTTCTTTGATTATATTTCCCTACTCTGAACAAGTCTGAAGTCAATGTACTGTTGACCACTAACAAATGATTGCAGCAAATTGAATCCGAGCCATTTCCGACATTTTAGCGTTCCTTGTACGTTAGGAAATCGTTTACGGTCAGTGTAGTTCAGTTTGTAAATCAATCCGAGCACAGTTATCAGATAGTTTTGCAGCACTTGACCTAGCTTGGCAAGGTTGTAGAAAGATTGACTATATTATGTAGCTTCTACCATCATATCAAGACACCAATTATGTAAAAAACTGTTGCCAATAGAGGAGTATTTCGAGAATAAAAATAGGTTGTTTTAGTTTTTGATTAAAGTATTGATAGATTACAATGTTATCAAGTTATTATTCCAAGGCTGGGAATTATAATGCTGTCATTGTGGGTTTTCCATCTCCTGGAACCTAACAGCTACCAAAGACTAAATAGAATTAAGAAACTTAAAAACTTGTTCCTCGAAGAACTCAGTTTTGTTGTCTGACAGCTGGAGTGTAATAACAGTTTTTTTTTTCTTTTATTTAAATTTAATTTTGAGGTTGACTATTATCAGAATGTTTGTTGTTGTTGAACAAAACTACCTAGTTTTTCTAGTTGAACATAGACCTTCTAAAGCAAGAGGAATGAACATGAAATGAAATGAAATGAAAATGAAATGAAATTAAAAATGAAATGAAAAACGTTTATTTATCCCAAGAATATAAACTAAAACAGAGAGCTAAACTTAACAGTAAAACATTTCTAAAATAAAATAAAATTTGCCTTACTTATGGGATAGGCCTTCATGGGCAGGTGCCTGTGCTCAAACAACTATTCTATAACTAATTATAGAAATTAGCTAATTAGAAATTAACTAATTAGCCTGGCTGTTATCAGTCTAAGCAAATTGAGGGCACACACTAAAATTGGGAAGGTTTTTAAGCCTTGTTAATTTAACTTGATCGTTTAGCGGATAAGAGAATGTCGGCGACGACAACCAAAGCCAGTGCAATCTAAGACAGGAGACATTGTGAGGGCGAGGGGGTCGAAGGGTCAAGGATTGTTTAGTCAGGGTCAAGTAAGGTTAGGTCTGATCAAAGTTTCGGCCTCTTCATTGGTAATCGTGTGCAGTAAAACAAGCATCTGTTTTTTTAAATTTCTATATTGAGGGTAAACTAAAAATGTGTTGAATATTATATTTTTGAATTAGATTTCGATGTAGAATCTGAGCAACATAAAAACAGTTGGTAGTTAGAACTGACTTATGTAGCTGAGGGACAGATATTCCAACATTGTGTGAATATCTTGTGTAGTGTTGATGTGTGACTGCTGTAAGGATCGTGTTTGAGTTTTTGAATGTGTGACTAAGAAGAAACTGAATGAAAATATGTCTGACTGGTAATACTCCCGTCTCACGGAATAGCTCATCAGTGGAGTACCTTTTATTTTTTCTAAAAGCTACTTTCAAAATTGATCTTTGGACCACATTCAAGGGTTCCAAGGTGGTGTGATAGCATGCTCCCCAGCAGATAATAACAAATGAAATCAAGTATTGTACATAAGCGAAATAGCGAAATAAGCTCTCTTTACGTCCTCCTCGTCCAAAATGACACTCTGATAAATGTCTGTCAGATAAATAGTTTTTGAACCAGGCGAGAGCAGTGCCTCTGACACCGATCTGTTCCAATTTTGTTATCAACAAGTTTCTGTTAATTGAGTCGAATGCTTTTTTAAATCTAAGAAAATTAACATAGAACGATTGTTATTTGCCATTGAGTTATTTATAGATTTACATACTTCAAAAAGTGCATCAGAGATGTTTTTATCTTTTCTAAACCCAAATTGTGAATTAGATAATATATTGTTATTATGAAGGTACTCCACCAACTGCTCCTTGACAATACGCTCTAAAACCTTGGAAAACACGCTTAACAATGAGATTGGTCTAAAGTTGTTACAGTCTTTTGGATAACCTGTTTTAAATAAAGGAATTACCTTTGCAGTTTTGAATTGAGCCGGGAATATACCAGTCAGTAGAGATAGATTAACTATGTGTAGCAGCGGAATGTAAATTATGAGTGCGTTTTGTTTAAGTAAATCAGCCGAAACTTCGTCCAGACCCGGAGCTGAGCAACCGTGCAGCTCGGAGATGTGTTGTAGTACGTCTTCAGAAACAGTTTGCAATGTGAAAGTAGAGTCCAGTCTGTAGTCAGAGTCAACAACCACTGGGGTCCCACCCGCATCTATCTGCTTAGATAGATTTACTCCAACAGAAGCAAAGAAGTTATTAAAATCATCTGCTATCTCGTGTTTTGCGGCTTGAGTATCATGAGACATGCTGGGAATAAATTTATCAATTGGAAATGAATTTTTATTACGTGGCCTGCCAGCAAGATCATTGATCAGTCCCCAAAACAATTTTGGATTCCTATTGTTCTGGTACAATCTTTCCCTGTAAAAATCTCGTTTGGCTCTTTTTAATAGATTGCATAGGTCATACATACCTGAATGTTCACTAATTTTCAATCTTATAAAATGTATACCGGTAATCACTTTTAGTGTTATAACCAAAGAGTGAAAGATATACCTTAAAATGAGAAAGAAATATTTTAGTTGACATCAGTGAATCCAAAACGCAACTTATATGAATTACACATTAAAATTTCAGGACAGAATGAGAAGTTCAAAGTATATCATTTGAACTAACCTTGCTTAGATCTTTATTCAGGTTCTACAACTGTTTTGTAAATGGTGTATCCGTTGATATGAATAAATAAATAAATAAGATTTATAAAAGTTACAATATAAGTAGACTCAACTAATGAAATACAATAGTCTATTGGCAAAAGTTCCTTGAATAACAAGAAGGATTCTGCATATCCACATTTAATGTTTCTGTGTGAGCATTTACTTTTCACAGATCATTCCAGTGTTGTTTTAATGTTGTATAAAATGTCATAGTTCTCTTACCTAGCAATTATTTCTATATCGCAAAATCAGTTTTCTTCTACTGTAGTCTATTTAAACCCTCGTGTGTGTAATTAGACATCTATGTTTTATACACTAGATATTTTATATCACATAGATGTTTTTGTACTGAAAGGTTTTAAGAGACGTCTACTATAAGTTATAGATTGATCGACAACAAACAGACATTTGTAGCAGATTGTTGTTTTTGAATTTTTAAGAAGTACCTGATTGATGAGTAAACTGTTTTATGCAGATGTTTGCACAATTTTATCGTTTATCACAATGTCAACATAAACACAAACTATCAGGCTCTGTTATCATGGGATATTCTTTTAAAAATTGAACAGAAAATTGTTTTTTGTTGTCAAACGTAAATGTTTAAGAAGAGTGGGTAAGTAACATCAGTCCCTAGCCCAACAAAATTACAAGTTTAATTTTGAATATTTAATCAATTCTGATACTTTCTCCAGAATGGATACTAAAAACGTTGACTCAATAATTAAAAGTTAAAGTTTAAAAGACGGTACTTTGTTTTGAGCAAGATACAAAGAGAAGTTAAAACCACGGACCAAGCACTGTCTTATAAAGACGTAATTTGTTACTTAAATTAAATATTAATATCTGAAATAATGTGTACATACTTTTAAGTAGCTTTTATTAAAACTTATGCTGGAACTAGTACGTAAGGAATGTTTTTGTTCAATGAAAATTGTCAGTTAAGAATACTGAAGATGGTTATGTAGGTACTCTAAGCATGGCGAAAAAATATTTTAACCTGTACCTATCTATTTAGTATTTTAGTAACTTAAAGGATGCAGTTGTTTTCAAAAATAGCTAAATAATTAGCTCATAACTGTACTGCTCGTATATTGACTTCTAAAAATCTAAACTCAAGTGTGAATATTATCTGTTTGTTGTTGATGCTTGATAATTGAGAACCACACCTGTAAAACCCACAAGACAACCGTGTTAGCTGTAACAGGTTATTTAAGCTTTTCCTCGTCTATCCTTTGAGGGGATTCTGAGTCTGATTTCTGCGGTTGTGATACGTTTTTGCTTCTTCTTTTAGTGTAAGAACATCGAATGTTACCACGGACAATATAATTGTGGCAAGTGTTTGTTTCTGTTTTCCGTTAACAATATAGTGAGTGTTTATTGTTATGTTTGTTACTTGTTAGATGTTTTATGTATCATTTGGCTTATCACAGAAAAAAATGTTCAAGTAACAATGGTAAAGCTTTTATTAGATGCTTACACATTTTGTTGGATGTATAATTTTTACCTATGTGGTATGGTCAAGTATATTCTAATTTAGATTTACAAATACCCTTGGCGGTCTCAAACTATGTTTTCAAACATCTTCAAAGTCCAAGGAAAACATTTTATCATCAAAAAGCTTTATTGACAATTTCAACAATCAACTAAATGGATTCAAGACTCTGACATGTACAACGGCAAATTAAATATTGATCTTATAGAGTTCTATCAACAGAAATTTACATTACCACATTCAAGAGCAGAAAACAACATTAACGTTCTGTTGTAATATTTTCAAAATACATTGACTACGTATGTTGACTATTGTTACTTGAAAATACCGTAGGATCATACCACTTTACTCATTACTTGTCCACAAGCCTGTAAACCCAAGGTTGTCTCTCGTTCATCTTGCGAGGTGCTCTGATAAGGTTGTGTATCGTAGACTAGTTGTTGGACCTATTCTAGATTTTATATTGATATTACATGTACATAGTTCGATATTTGTTCGGTCGGCTTTTGTTCCTGACGCACATGTTAATCTATTTTGACTAGCACTGTGGCATTCCCTACAGTTTCTTTAGGTTTTTGCTGGATCTAAATGTGTACATCGAACTTGTATTGTCTACCTAAGGTTCAGTAATACTTGGAATAATTCCTACGTCTAGTTTTAGTTGATGGTTCGAAAGGGGGAAAACAAAATTTTTCATCAGTCGGGGGAAAATTAATAAAAAGTAATTTATAAAAAGTTCATTGTATCTATGTATATTTAAAATAATCTATACAAAATCCATCACAGTTAAAACTGGAGATTGGGTTTCTGTAGTTATACACAAACTGGATTCGTACATCTACATATCTGGCCTATATATTTTGAGTAGACACTAGACAATATTGTATGTGTATAAGCTTGTATATAAATGTTGTATACAATAAGCTATATTATAAAATAGTGGGAAACTGTCCATTTACCTTACTTTTTGTATGTTTATTGTCGTGTATGTTATATAAATATAAAATGAGTATAATAAAATTATTAAATTATACTTATTCAATTCATTTTCCCATGATGAAAACGAGTTCATATATTTTCTAGTGAAAAATAAAACTTTTAATTCTCTACTTAATAAACAAAATCGGTAAATGTATCTGTTACAATTTTGATTGACATTCATTGAATAAAAATATGTGGATTATTTTAATGATCAGATTTTAACAGAAAGCCAAGAGGAGCCATTTTTGGGAAGGAATTAAGTTTAGCTAGCTCAAATGATCAAGTGTTTACTGCAGCTAATAATTCCATTTGCCAACTACAGTTTTGCTGGTTAAATATTTGGTTTATTATATTAACCCATACATAACCCTTCCTTAAGACCATTAGTTTCATGTAAGATTAACCACATCGTTATAAAATGAAAGTTTTTATACCTGTCTATCCTTCCATCATTACTCCAAAACTAATCGATCAATTGAGTTTAAATTTCACTCGCAAATAGATAACTCACTGTACGAGAAATTTCATTGATATAGACATATTGCCAATGTGATATTTTGACCGTCTTGCCCTAGGAGGTGAAAAGTTGAGTAAAGGCTTGGCAAAGTACAGTGTGTTTATAAAATAATGCCGAGATTTAAAATGGTAATTGCTTGGGTACTGTTCAAGGTAACTAAACGTTTTATATGTCAAATTGATGCTAAAATAAAAATAACTAAGTTCCTAGCAAGGGAGGAAACTTTGATCTTGGCATGCGCAAAACCGGTGCACGATGGTAGGCCGCTATTGTGACTCACGCCGTAAGTTTTCAGTTGAATATACCTAAATCAACACTTCATGATGCTATTCGTAAAAGATAGTCTTTGTGCCTTAAACGATTCAGTTAAGACATCAGATAAACCCTCCAATTGCACTAAGCGTGCAGTCCTTGCCAGTTTTACGCTGATATAAAATTGTTGAAAATCAGATTTTTTATTATTATTCCAAATTTTATCAAAGTAGGAGAAAAATGTGTTCCTTTCCCTTCAATTTGGCATTTAAATTGTTTAATTATCTTGAATAGTCCCCGAGCAACGGCCGTTTAAAATCCCGGAATTATTTTATTCCCTGTATATTGTCAATAGTTAAAAAGACAACAAAAGAAAACTGACTACATTTACAATTTATCTGTTTATGTTTTATTGTGCGTTTATGTTAACTTAGACTTATTTAGGCTACCTATCACCCAGGATCAATGATTGATTTTAAGGTATTAAGGATTCACAGTCAACGGTGTATAACCAAATGAGGTGTAGAGTAGTTTGTACTGTAAACGAAAAGCATCACAATAGTTCCAAACCTGTCAATGGTGTAATGTTCTAACATTTTTAAGAAGACATTTTATTGAAAATATAATGAGGCAAATGGAAATTAACTTAGTCTGCAGGTTTAAAATTATTCTCATAAACCTCAGGAAGACAGCCGAGGTTGATACGGCAACAGTTTATAGAATCTAGCTTATTTCAGTATTAAGTTTGTTTAAATTAACTGTGCGGAGTTTTGAAATCAAGTGCATTTGTAGGTTCTGCTTGTTTAAATTTTTTAAAGATATGAGTTTGCTCTTTGTTGCCATGTATAGCAATTTGTTACTTCAGAAATTTGAAATCCCACGGGACAGAGTCCTAGGTAAATATTGAAGCGGGAATAGTTCTATATGTATCCTCGGTGCTTTGGCTTTATTTTTGTCCGATTTGATCCAGGTTCAGTAGTTTTTGTCTTTAGCTCATACAAACACACAAACAGACACCACCTCTTCTTTATAATAATATATCAAATATAGATTATGATACTAGCTATTTCCTACAGTGTCTTCAAAGAGCTTATTAAACACCCCATTACAAGTACAACAGGGGAATAAAAGTTAAATTTGTAAATAATAATTTCACTTCCAAGCAAATAATAATGTGATGTTAGATTTTCCAATAACATAACATTACATGGAAGCAATAACTGAGGTAGGTAATTCCAATTTAGAGTAGATGGGGAGGAATGGTCCAAGAATCCTGGCAATACAAGGGGAGAAGAGATGAAGTAAGGAGAGAATGGGAGAAGTGGTGGGGGTGTGGGTGGGGGCGGGGGGGAGGGTTTGAAAGATCAATGGCCAAGCTTCTGCTCCAGTGGGATAAATCCCTTCAGAACCAAATAACTGTCCCTGAATTCATAACTACCAATGAATGGTTTTCATTCTCCTTCAAAATAAATCATACTTGAACCAATGTATTGCATATTTAAATTGTTAATGTAGGATTAGACCAGAAAGCTCCTTGACAAATTAGTTCCAGAAATAAGAAAAGTATTTTTGGCTCAATTGAATAATGTTGTAAAAGCTATAAAAAATATCCCTAACAAACTTAGTTCAACACGCAAAAGACTTATTAAAATAATTATTTGGATTAATTTTTGAAACTTTAATGTAGTTTTCATAGTTTGGTGATTTTTGTAGCCTATATTTTTTCAAAAAAGGTTTTTATATTGGTCATTTACAATTTTAATTCCAGTAATATTTTATTTGAAGTAGGTGCCTACTTGATGTAGTAGGCCCTTCAAACCATCAGTTTGGATACTCAGAAATGGTTGCTAAATCCTGCAGTAATTCATTTCAAAACCTAATGATTTATTTAAAATCAATAAATATTTATAAAATAGTTAGTCAGTGTCGGTTCTAGGACCTTGTCCAAGGGGGGGGGGGCTTTATGGTGAAGTTTTGCACACACCCCGAGAAAGGAATTGGATCTGGGGTGCTCCTCCAGAAAATTTAGTATTTTTTTAAAGCCGTTTGGTGATTTTCTAAAGTAATTTTTGACATCTAAAACCTTTGTTACGTTTTTAGGACTAAATAAATATATTTTTTAGGGTCCAATGGGGGGGGGGCTTTAGCCCTCCTTTGAACCGCCACTCTGTAGTTAGTCAAACAACACCCTGAAAATATAATACAATCTTCAACATAAGGGGATTTTTTATCTTGAAATATCTCTTACAAGTCAAATATCCCTAAACAGGGATAAAATCCCTGATGTGGGATATAGATGGGGGAGCCACCTAGTGGCTGTTGCTGGAACTACAAGACTCTGAATCTGTCTGTGATCTGTGTGACTGTGAAGCTGTCATTGGATATTTGCAGATTCTGGAAGATCCAGTTGAAGAATTTTGATCTCACAACAAACAGTGAGTTGTATTTATTTTTGACATTATGATATTCTATTTTAATAGGTATTCAAAATAATTACAACGAATAATCTTGATTATTTATATGCATCAAATATTTTAGATATTCAATATTGGTTTAATTTTCTCAGATAATAGTTGCATTACAAACATATTAGTTAAAAATATAATAATTAAATTATAATGCTGCTCATTAAAATTTTTTTGTACAATATATATGGATATATGTTACTTTAATTGTTAATTATTATATTAAAATACTGTACTCATAACCTGATAACTAGAAATTGTCACTTTTATAAACTAATTTACCGTTTTAAAATGTGTTTCAGTTTTATGTTTGCATTTTAGCATAACTCTACAGCAAGGCTAATCATGAATTTTAATTTAGGGATGCTTGGTGCTTGTTTGTTTTGAAACTCAGCCATTTTGGTATTCCACCCTCCCCTTACTCACCCCTTTATGATGATATTGTGAAGGGAAGATTTTATGATTGATTACTTCTGATTACATAGATGTACATAGGTTGATGACCTTATTTTACAAAGCATCTATGATCTTTTACTACCCTTTTACGACGTTTATGTAACTCGTCAAATTGTTTAGACCAAGCTTGATGTAAAATATACATCTTCTTTTAAATAAATGAGGAATACAAAACAAAATCACCATCTATATCTAATCTATCCACCATATCTATCTACAACTATATTTTAAAAAGATAATTTTTGAGGTGGTTAAAAAAAGAATATTTAGTAGATAACAAAATATTCATTGTAAAATTTCTATAGAAATAATATCCTTTAAAGAAAACAATCCAGCCCACAATTAATGCATACATTTCTAAAATAACTGTGATTGTAATTAATTGGTTTTAGAAACTACAAACTAAAATGCTGATACATCTTCATGTAAAAAATGTCTTAACTGGGATCAAGCAAATTTCATCTATAGGGAAGAAAATATTTATTCCAATCAAAGCTGCTGTATTTAACTAAAACACAAATTTAAGGCAAATCTTTGTTCGTAAATTTGAGAATCAAACATAAAAATTCATATGCATAGTTTGAAAGTAAAACTGTAATCTTATTTGTGTGTGTAGTTAGAGTTTTACATGAGTTTCCGCTAGCTACAGTATGACCACAGCACAATGAGTCAGAAGTAGGATAGTTTGCAAACATTGTGGTTCTTATCACATTGTTTGTTTGGCTTTACTCTAGCCACAACAATAAAGAAGTGAAGGTATGTAGCCAAGTAGTCAGAAATAGATTGCCAACTCTGGATTGACCAATTTGATAAACTCACTTTAATTTAGCTTGTTTCATTCATTCCATGTATCACAAAGCTTGACATGGGTAATTGTTTGTTGGTCGATGACTAAGTTAGTTCTACATCTAAGCTATCTAAGCTATAAAGCAGTGCATAACAATTATTGTTATGCACTAAACACTAAACAATGACTAGTAACACATGTATAGGTACAAGTTTAACAATTAAAACAGTATTTTTTACAATGAAAAACTTTGAGAGCAGTAAAATCCTCATACATCAATCGATTAATTTAATTATTTATTTGAAACCTTAAAGTAAATCGATAGAATATAAGAAAGAATACCACTTGTATGCTATTTCATATAATTTATTATTTGTTTACTCTCTTAAACATGGAAATTATGTTTACTATTCTTTACTTTCTTAATTCAAAATACTGTTCACGTCATTATACATGTGCTTTCATAGCATTGCTAATAATTGTGTTAGATCAGGTGAGGTGTTTAATATTGCGAATGGATTTAGACAAGTGTTAATGTTCATTATTTTAGCCGAGGCTCGGA